ACATGACACCACCTCCGGGTTTAGAGGATACAGTAGCTTCAGGAAAAGTTTTGAGACTTTGGAAAGCTATCTATGGACTCAAACAATCCCCGAGAGCTTGGTATCACAAGTTGAGTTCTACTCTGTTGGTAAATGGCTTCAAAAGGTCACATTCTAATCATACTTTGTTTACTAAGCAAGATAATCAAGGAATCGTAGTAGTCTTGATCTATGTTGATGATTTGATTATATCGGGCAGTAACAAAGAGGGTATCCAAGAGATTAAATCTGCTTTACATTCTTCCTTTAAAATTAAAGATTTGGGTGTTTTGAAGTACTTTTTAGGGATCGAGGTTGTTTATTTCACAAAGAAAATATGCCCTCGATCTCCTAAAGCTCACTGGAAAACTTGGAGCTAAACCGGTTGAAACACCATTGGAACAAGGTTATACGGTCAATCGAAAGGGGGAGAAAGATGATACACCATACCATTGCCCAGAACAATACAGGAGGCTCGTAGGTAAGCTTATATACTTGACATATACTCGACCTGACCTTTCTTTTGCTGTGAATCAGGTGTCTCAACACATGCAAGCTCCCACTGTTTATAATTGGAGTTTGGTGGAGAGGATTCTGAGATATATCAAAGGGAGCCCCAGAAAAGTTATTTGGATGGGAATAAACTCAAGCACAGAGATTGTTGGATATTGTGATGCAGATTATGATGGAGATCGCAACGCAAGACAATCAACAACCGGCTTTTGTACATTCATTGGTGGGAACCTTGTAACTTGGAAGTCCAAGAAACAGAAAGTGGTATCTTGTTCGAGTGCAGAGTCAGAGTATAGGGCCATGAAGAAACTCACAAACGAGTTAACTTGGTTAAAAGCTTTACTGAAGGACTTTGGGATCGAGCAGAAGACACCAATCATATTTCATTGTGATAATCAAGCAGCTATCCATATTGCTACCAACTCAGTGTTTCACGAGAGGACTAAGCACATAGAGATCGACTGCCACAAGACAAGAGAGAAGGTAGAAGATGGTAAAGTTCTCCCTTGTTACACTAAGAGTTCGGACCAATTGGCCGATATCTTCACCAAGGCAGCAAGTAAACAAGTTTGCCAATTTATCCATGGTAAACTTGGTCTTGTAGACCTCACACATCCTTGAGAAAGACTTCCCAACCTTGTAGGGATAACACTTTTTTTCCCTTAACAAAGTTTTGTCCCACGTGGTTTTCTTTGTTAAGGTTTTTAATGAGGTTATTCACACAAGTGGCCAATTTAATACACAATTCCATTGTAGTATAAACTTGAGGGGGAGTGTTAATCAAGAAGGTGTTTAATACTAACTAAATCAATGGTTAGATATTAAACACAAGTTACTTAGGGCGCAAGCTTCAGTTTGAATAAAAGAGAAAGAGGAGGAACGGCTAGTTGACTGTACGGACACGCGAGACCCGTTAGGCGTCGAGCTTATCCAAACCAAAAGCTTTAGCACTTGTACGGTTTTGTCTATATGTGTGAGCTGTCTTTGGTAAAGCAAGGCTAAGAGAGGATGCGATTGTCTTTTGTGCATACCCCTTAGACCTAGAGTTTGTCCTCTATAAAACTAGAGCGTTTCTCCACATTTGTAACACGCACTAATCATCAATATTGATATGTTGTGTTTTTATCGGTTTTGAGTCTTTGTTTTCTTTCTTACATCATATGTTTTATCAAGTCAAAGTGTGTTTTTAGAGTCTTTTAGTTGTTTATCGAGTCTCTACAGGTTTTAGGTTGCTTCGGAGGAAAACGAGCTGTTTTGGGGTATAAACACACTTTTGGAGATGCAGTTTCGTTTAGAAATGTCAGACGTTTTTCCTCAGATGGAATACTTCCCACCGTTAGATCTTTCTGCATTTTTGACACAAGTTATATGAAGATGTTATCTTGAGTTTACAAGTGGTTTGAAGGAAATCCAACGGTGCATTCAAGAGTTATACCTGAATTAGTGAAGACAGGTCATTCTGCCGAGCATTTGAAGCAATCAAGTTGGCGCCGTTGCCGGGGACCAATTGCGTTACCTAAGGATTTAGGATTAGTTTTTAGTCTAGAGCATTTTTATTTATTACTAACTTTCATTTGTTTTTTTTTTTATGCCATGGAATACAATGATTGGCCGCAAGAAGAAGATGATGAATCATATGTGGAGCCACCGTTTGATGAGAGTGTTCTTACACCGGAACAAAAAGTGAAGTTGGATGAACTTCACGACGAACATCCGACATTTGTTAGGAGTGATTTAGCGATCTTAATCCGGTGTAATCTCTTATCACACCGGGCAGCATGTGAAGGAAGAAAAGTCACATTCTATGAAGAACAAGAAGCCCGTGCGCTTGAAAAGGTAATATATTGGGTTCCACCAAGCGAATTAGAAGGTACATGCGTTTCAATCCTTGAAATTCATGATGTTGAGGATATTCAGTTATCATGCATTGAAGATGTGAATTCTAGTTTGCATACTCCCATGATCATTGATGAATGTTACGATTTGATATGTGAGTCTCAACGACTAGATACTTTAAGAGCAGCAAAACTTGCTAGGGATTACCATGAAATATGTGTTGATATTGAATATCATTGTGCTTTGAATGTTCATGATCTCGAGTTTAAGTTTTCAATGCCTGAAATATCTAGATCTCTTCTTGATGAATATTTCCTAGGAGTTGTGCTTGATATTGATAAGATTTTGCATGAGAATGACTATCCTGAGGTTGATTATATGGATGGAGATATTGTGCTATATGAGATCAGTGGGGATGAAGTTGATTATTTTGTTCAAACATCATGTAACCAGGAAATTGACTTCATTTTTCCTCCCAATGCATTTGATCCTCATGAGCATTCAACCATCAAGGAATATTTCATAGTATATGCTACATTTGTAGTAATTTTTCTTGATATGAATTTTATCTCTTTACCATGGATAATTGTGTGTTACTTGGCACATCTCATTTCTTTCACTAACAGGAGAAGGACAAAAGGTCCACTGGCACAACCTTTTGATTCTTATGATTAATATTTTGTGTTGAGCGGTCAAGCTTACGACCTAAAACAAGCGCTTGGTGGGAGGCAACCCACAATGTATCCCAAGTAAGTTTTTTTCTTTTTCTTTTTCGCATTTTCATTTTTTTCTTTTGAGTGTGTATGGCATCGTTTATTCGAATTGTTTTCATACCGAGTCGGTGTGAAGCAAGTCGGGGGGATGATGTCATTTGTCTACTAATCGAGTTTGCTTTGGTTGTTTCTTTTGTTGCTTTCGTTTGAGTCAGTCAGTTCGTTTTTATCGAGTCAAAATTGTGTCTTTTATTGAGTCAAAATTGTTTGAGAACTATGATCTTTTCTTGGGGAATTGCACTTTGTTTGATTTCATTGCCTTGGGACCATTTTAGCACTATTCGATAACTTGGAAGTTCAGGAAAATCCATCACTTGATCACTCTATAGTAGTCCCTATCTCTTTGAAATTTGGATGAATTGAGCTTAATCTTATATACTTGAACTTAATATGGACTTAATTTGTCTCACTTAGGGGCTTGAGAATCATGTAATGGATCATACATTCAGAGTTTTGTTCGCATCATTTTTACCACTCTTTGCTAACTCTGAATGGCTAGACTCATTTTTAGTCTAGTACCGCACCTGTTTCCCCACCCATTGTTTGAAACCTCATGCATTCTTATATGATCATCATGATATGCATCCATGTGCGAAAACTACGGAGTATACGGACCGACATTGCTTTCCTTTTGTTAGGATAGTAAGGTTGTAGTTTACTAGTTGTCGATATATGATGAGATTGAGCCATTGTGGTTTAGAGGCTATATTCATGGGCATATGCTGCTGTTTGTGATTTTTCTTGATGCAGATTTTTGTGAGACACCAGTTCCACTCCCCCGTTTCTATTCAAAAAAAAAAAAAAAAAAAAAACGAAAATAAAAAGAAAGAGCGGGAAAGGAGAGTGATTGGAACCGGAAATGTCAGGTTATTTTTAGTCATATTCATAAGCATCAAGGGTACTTAATGTTTCGATCAGGGTCCGTGTTGGTTAGTGTGATCCGAGCTTAAGGGAAGCTATGTACCTCCTAGTTGGTCTGTGTCTCACTGTGATTTCGCATAATGACATGCATCCGTTTTACACTGTTTGAGAACCAGAAACACTTAGAGCCACCAAATATTAGCCTTTTTACCAAGCCCATAACGTGTTCGATACCCCCTTTGTGAGAATACACGCCACTGCTAATAAATGTTAAAAGGTTAAGTTATCTGATTCTGAAAGTTCTTTTAGATCTCGGGACTTAATTTTGTTGCTACGGTAATGGCGAAGTACAGTCTAGTACGGTTTGATGAGTTTTGTGATAGTGGTTTGCAGGCAATTGATAAGATCATGATCCCGAAGAAAATGTGAGTTCTCGTGTTTTCAAACCTCTTCTCTTGATAAGGATTTTTGCTTTCCTTGAGGACAAGCAAAGATGTAAGTCGGGGGGAGTTGATATGTTGTGTTTTTATCGGTTTTGAGTCTTTGTTTTCTTTCTTACATCATATGTTTTATCAAGTCAAAGTGTGTTTTTAGAGTCTTTTAGTTGTTTATCGAGTCTCTACAGGTTTTAGGTTGCTTCGGAGGAAAACGAGCTGTTTTGGGGTATAAACACACTTTTGGAGATGCAGTTTCGTTTAGAAATGTCAGACGTTTTTCCTCAGATGGAATACTTCCCACCGTTAGATCTTTCTGCATTTTTGACACAAGTTAGATGAAGATGTTATCTTGAGTTTACAAGTGGTTTGAAGGAAATCCAACGGTGCATTCAAGAGTTATACCTGAATTAGTGAAGACAGGTCATTCTGCCGAGCATTTGAAGCAATCAAATATGATTCTCTCTTTCTCCAAACATGGTTCTTCTTACTTATCCAACTTAAATCTTTCACTTCGGAGGTAACTAAAAACCCTAAGTAAAAAAACCAAACCGCACCTACGACGATGTCGGAGCTTCCATGGGATATAGTAGAGGAGATTCTTTGTCACGTTCCGACCACATCTCTAAAACGGTTACGATCTAATTGCAAAAGATGGAACCGTTTATTCAACGATACAAGATTCGCACGAAAGCACTTCGATAAAGCCGTAAGACAGTCTCTAATTCTCATGTTGACAGTGGAATGTAGGTTTTTATTGATGAACGTCAATCTCCATGGAGTCTCAGCTAGAGATGTAACAGGTGAATTTAGCGTAATCAATTCTCATTCTAATTTAATTAATATCTGAAGTTGTTCACTACGATGGCTTATATTGGTATGCAACATCGGATGTGGCATTAGACTCGTAATTTGGAACCCGTGTACTAAGTGGATCCAACCCAAAAATCCCTACAATGGAGGCTACTACGTACACAACCTATGCTTTGGGATCCTCCGAAGACAAGAAATCCGGAAATAATAATAGCTACAACATATTGAGCTATGACTTTTGTAATAGTGACAAGAAAGAATTCGCAATTTTATGAGATGTATAATTCATGGAGGAGTCTTGACGTCACTCCGGACTTTCACGTAGCGTATACTCATAACCACGTATCTTTGAATTTGGTTTGCTCTAGATAAAGAAGAGAAACACCTCGGCACATTCTTAGTCAGTTTTGATTATACAAAAGAGAGATTTGAACGTCTGGGTCTTCCGTGTCACCGTGGAACTGCGGCTGTCTCCGTTGTTAGAGAAGAAAAACTTACCGTGTTATTACATGACGCAAATACATCAAGGACAGAAATATGGGTGACAAATAAGATTGATGGTACCAAAGTGGTGGCGTGGAGCATGGTCTTAGCAATGGATCACCCTGAACTTGTTTTTGGGTTTAGGGTAAGTTTTTTGGTCGACGAGGAGAAGAGATGCGTTGTGTGTTGGGGTCAGAAACGTATGGTCAAGGATGGCAAGATTCACTACAAAGTCATGGTACACATAATTGATGAGGATAATAAAGTTACAAAAGTGGATTTTGCACCATCTACAATGAGTTCATATCGGCCACTTTTGCTCAATTATGTTCCAAGTTTGGTTCAAATCCAGTGACTTGGAGCCTGGAGGCAACATGATAAAGAGGCAGGCGGATAGTTACTCTATCTTTGTATTTTCTTTATTTACTTTGGCCATGCCCTTTGAACAATTGATAGATCGATATTCACTCAGGAAGTTTTATTATTTAATGTCTCAAACTACCTAGATGTAAGCTAATGAGTAGGTTTGGTATATTCGGTTAAGATAGTTCGGCTTTTAATGGTTCTTTATAAATCCTCAATCATTTTGCTGATTTTTGCTTTAATGATATGTTTTTTTGATGACCTGAATATTTGCAGGCATCTTATTTTACGAAAAGAAGGTTAATTCCCATTGTAATGGCTTCGTTGAATTTGTAAAGATAGTCTTAAAACAGAAACAGTGGCAAAAAGCTACTGCTATAATTACTCAGACCAGGTGGTCACGACTCATGTCACGTACTCAATTAATTATTCTCCTTTTAGATGTCTAAAATCATACGACCATTTATGATTATCAACACATAACTTTTGATAGTTTTTAGAAAAAAAAACACATAACTTTTGATAGTTTTTGAGATGGTCGGTCGACTTAATGTAATAATAGGTGACAAAACATAGATCTTCCATGTATATATTGAAAGCAATCTCAAATCATGATATTTTCAACCTTATTGGAAATATAGAAAACTAAGATATAAAAGTAAAATAGCTCATTGAGCTTCAATGTAAATAGAGGAAGAAGAATCTAAGTTGTCACCAAAAGTAAAATGATTCAAGATTGATACTTTTATAAAGATAAAGAAAGAGAGTTGTTTTGAGACAACTCTCAAAGTTACCTTACATTGATTTTCTAAGCACATTTATATGAATCTCTACTTAGCTAAAATCCTAGTTATATGGGCTAATATGCTTCTCATAAGACTCTAATTTGGGCTTCCTTTAAAGGCTATGCTTATAAAATAAACTGATGTTGCCTACCATTTTCTTACTAGATTGTATGTTGTAGGAAATCAAGTGTTTTCTTGTAGTAAATTTGGATTCTCCAATATATATGTTTGTTGCTAAAATAGAATTTTTGAGATATGAAAGCAATTTCAAGATTAATTATCTATATGCATTGTTTTTTTTGTTTTGTCATAAGCTATTTTCTTCACTTTATAACAATTTTCGTTCAATAAAGCTTTTTGAATCCTAAATAGATCTCAGTTTAAACTTGGTATTCAATTTATAGGTTATAGCCTCTTTTTTATCTCATCAGTTTTCATTTTTCAATGTGAAAATTTTGTAAACATTGTGATAAAAGGAAAATATTGTGTTTTATAACCAAGCATAGCAGTTGATTGACGACGAAATTTGGTATCTAGAAATCGAGATCCGAGAGTTTAAACTGCGCTTGGAAAATAATCATATTACATATTGATCTGATCTACTATCTTAAAGATATACAAATCTAGGTCAATCACAACCTCTTACTTTTTAAGGTTATATTTTATAAACGTTTCTGAATTTCTGTCAACTCAATTAGCCACATCACCACTTTGGACGGTCATTGGTCAATTCCAAATGTTTGTTGGTTGATTTTTTATTTTTCTAACTCGATCCTAATAATTTTTGTTTACCTAGTCTAAATTAATAGTTTATTGCCAAATCAGTGTAATGAGTCATGAATCATGATAGTTGACATGCTTCCTCCGGCGTTCAGTTTGCCGCATAAGATTATTTTTTTTTAAGAGAGCAAATCTCCAACTCGATCCAAATGTATAAGGTTCTAATATTAAAAAACAGGATTCTTATGATTTTATAATTCTATTTACTATTTTAATGTCCACAACGTAACTTTTTCCTGAGAATCATTAGGTCTAGATTCAATGTTTAACCAATGCAAACAATAGTATTATTATTTTTAGACTATCTAGAATAATCAGTCTTCGAATATTGATAAGAAACATAATTTGTCGGGAAAAAGATAACAAACTGAATGTACTAAATATGTGTTCATACACTATAGCAAAAAAAAATATCAATCAAACACTTCACATATATATATATATATATATATGTGTGTGTGTGTTTGTTAAGCTGATAGATAATCTGGATTGAAGTTTGATTGGCCTATTAAACTCTAGGTTTTAGTTAGGGTTCGAATTAGTCTTCAAAAATATTAAGAATATTGTATATTAGATATATAAGTTATTTGAGTCTTAGTACGAGCTACCACTACATGCATGTGCCAATTTACGATTGTTATGAACCTTTTCTTTTTTTTGAAACTTGATTTTTATTATTATGAACTTATGATTGATATATAAACAAAATGTGGACCAATAGAGTTGCTAGAGATTTTAACATAAAATAATTAGGGCGTGGTCTGTCTAATCCATATATGACAATTAGCAAATTATTTTATTTATAAGAAAACAGACAATTGGCAAGTTATGCTGAAGTTAGATTAACCTCAGGCCCGGCCCACCCATAAGACAGCCAAAGCATTTGCTTTGGGCCACAAAATATAAGTAAAACGTTAGGGCAACATATCTGAGAAGTTTCCTTTAGTATGTTGGTTATTTGCCCCATTTTTGTGTCACCTGTGGGTGGGTTCGAGTCTTAACTTCTATACTTTTTGTTTCTCTTTTTTTTTTCCCTCTGTTTTGGTCGGTTCTCTTTTTTTTTTTTCTGGTTACCACGTGTTTTATTCTTTCTATTTTGTGAAGTGGGAGAAGATTGTTATTTATTTATTATAATTTGGCTACTATGTCTTATAATATTCTTAATTTCTTCAACAAAACTGAATTTTTATATATATTTTAGTATTTAAATGATAAATTTTTAACATTAATTTTTATATAAAAAATATATTATTTAAGTATGCTTTAGGCCACCAAAACCCGAGGACCGGCCCTGATTAACCCATCAAAAATATTGTTTTAGTCTTGTGTCTGGTTATGCTGTATACTTTGCCAATTTAAGAACTATATATCTTCCAAGAAATTTAGAAATTTTATAGATAGTTATAAGGGAATATGCATAAACTAACTGTGAAACTAGCTATAAACATTAGTACACATACGTAGTAAATTAGTTTGCTTATGACCTATAAAAACTTATGCATAATCCTAAATATAGTCTATAGACTATATATAAGATATGTATGTTAATTAGTCTAAATGTTTGACTGTTTTTTTATTGATGAAAAATGTTGCTTAAATTTTTAGTACTGGTGGTAATAAAACGAAAGAATAATCAGTTGTTCCATATGACTCGAATACTAGTTTAGAATTCATTTCGAAATTCTCGGATTTAAAGAAAAACAAGTCCAAACGTTAAACCTAATGATTATATATATATATATATTACTTTTTCAAGAATTATAAAGAGACAATTCTTCGTCTTGAGGCTGAGAAGTCAAAGAGTGACCGGGTCCGACGGTGTGATAGTCAACAGGTTAACCGGTAAGCATCACTTTATTTATAGAAAACTAAGTGGGGACTCACAGCCAGTCACCGGTCATGAATGTGTGCGGTGTTCCATTAATCTCGTTGACTTAGCTTAACCATTGTCTATTTTCTTTTAAAGGATATTTAATTCGTCTGTTGAATCAATTTATTACGGAGAAAAATATATATGTCTTGCATCAGTCATATGGAAAAAAAAATATGCACTGTCTTGAAATATTATATTATTTAAAATATTAGCTCAACTCAAACCTTGGTCTTTCAATTTATATGATGAATATTTCCAAACCATCATAAAATGTTTATTTATGCTTGTAACATACATTAGACACGTTTAGTTTAGGTAATACATACAAGATAGGGAGACTCACAAAAATGCCCCTTTTTCAATACCCCTTTTCAAAAATGTCCCCCTATGGATGTCCATTTTTAAAAATACCCCTTTTATGTACAAAATGACTAAATTACCCTTCTTTTAATAAAAGATATCATAAATATATAAGGAAATATAACAAAATTAGGTCCACAAAATACAAAATATTTTTTGGCGGGAAAAGTGATCCCCCAATTTTTCCCGCCAAAACACTTGTAAAAATTTGTAAAACCTTTAAAATACCTTGTGAAATTTTCCCGTAAAATTTTTTCCCGCCAAAAAATTTTCCCGCCAAAAAATTTTTTTTGCGGGAAAAGTGATTCCGCAATTTTTTTGGCGTTAAATTTTTGGCGGGAAAATTTTTCCCGCCAAAAATTTACAAGGTATTTTAAAGGTTTTTTACAAGGTATTTATAAGGTTTTACAATGTATTTTAAAAGGTTTTACAACGTATTTACAAGGTATTTATAAGATATTATAAGATTTTACAAGCTATTTTATAAGGTTTTTACAAGTTATAAGGTTTTACAAGTTTTTTATAAGGTTTTACAAGTTATAAATACCTTATAAAACCTTAAAAGTACATTGTAAAACCTTTTAAAATACATTGTAAAACCTTACAAAACACTTGTAAATACCTTGTAAAAAACCTTTAAAATACCTTGTAAATTTTAAAGGTTTTTTACAAGGTATTTATAAGGTTTTACAATGTATTTTAAAAGGTTTTACAACGTATTTACAAGGTATTTATAAGATATTATAAGATTTTACAAGCTATTTTATAAGGTTTTTACAAGTTATAAGGTTTTACAAGTTTTTTATAAGGTTTTACAAGTTATAAATACCTTATAAAACCTTAAAAGTACCTTGTAAAACCTTTTAAAATACATTGTAAAACCTTACAAAACACTTGTAAATACCTTGTAAAAAACCTTTAAAATACCTTGTAAATTTTTCCCGCCAAAAATTTTCCCGCCAAAAAAATTTCGCAAAAAAATTACGGAATCACTTTTCCCGCAAAAAAATTTTTTTGGCGGGTAAATTTTTTGGCGGGAAAAATTTTTACGGGAAAATTTTACAAGGTTTTTTAAAGGTTTTTACAAGTGTTTTGGCGAGAAAATTGCGGGATCACTTTTCCCGCCAAAAAATATTTTGTATTTTGTGGACCTAATTTTGTTTCAAATAAGGGTAAAATAGTCATTAAAAATTAAAAGAGGGCAAACTTAAAAATAGACTCTCAAAGGGGGCATTTTTGAAAAGGGGTATTGAAAAAGGGGCATTTTTAACAATTTCTCTACAAGATATCGAGTCTTAGCAAAAGTCAACAAAAATTTCGTACATGTTTGAGTTTATGTGATTTATTTGATAGGGCATTAAATTGAAATAAAGCTTTTAATAATTTCAATCACGTGGGAAGCGGCGATTGAATTGCGAACGGTGGTGAGATTCATTTCTATTTTCTGATCTAATAATTCTATGAATAAGTCAAAAGTCTTTCTAATAGAAAAAGGGAAAAATAGAATTAGTTTTCTGTAAGTACTTTAGTCCAAAAAATAGAAAAATCTATAATGAGAATTATGTGAATAAAATCTTCCCTAAAAATAGTTTTTTTTTTTTTTTTTTTTTAATCTAAAGCTCATATATTGACTTGATCAACCAAGGATTCAAAGTTTTACTAATTAGGACAAAGTCTTTGAAAACATTTCGTAGATTAGAGTGCTTCTTTTAGAAAACAAAATTCTTAGGTGAGATTTTTCAGTCGAGTAGATTGGTCAATAGTATTTTATGTAATCCCAATATATATAACTAAACCCTTAAAAAAAAAATCTACATATAATACTAGGATAATTTACCAATTTAATACTTTTTTGATTCTGTATATCTGTTTATTAGTTAAAATAACTTTTTTTTAAAAAAAATTTTGTCACTTAACTCAAAATTCAATTTCATTTTCTCTGTTTATTTTCCTGATCAAATTTATTAGAGTAAATGGACTAATTAACGATTTCCATTAACTAGTTAACTTGTTTGAATGATTACAGTTTAATCCCGAATAATTTAAATGTTTTAAGGGTGATTTAAATAAATAATACCTTAATTTATCGGATATCACACTATTTTAGAAAACATGCAGTTTTTGTATTTTTTCTGATGATATGTGTGTTTGCTATTTTACTTGATAAGATGTTATTTTATCAAATATCATAATTTTTATGTATTAATTCGGCTTCGCTCTAGTACCAAATGCTAGCCATTTTCCAGTAACCAGTTAAATGACACCACCTCTTGTCTATACAGAAATAATTTTGTGGTTGACTAATGAGGTTTTATAGTCTAGTGACTTGTGGTAGTGTTGTCGTTATGCCGAGTTTAATACACATATTGCATTTTTTTTTGTTAAAAGGCTTTACTTATATAACTAAAAATAAAAAATTTACAAAGAAATAAACAAGAGCCAAACCAGAATTAGAGTTGAGAAGAAGACCAACAAAAGGTACTTAACAGAAGAAGGTATCAAAGCCAATACCCTAATAATGTGAGCAGTGGTGGAGGCAGCATTGTCTTGGTAGGGGTTAATTTTTATAGTAAAACCAAAACTCTGTTTTGAACAATATTTTATAGGGATCAATAAACATATTTTAAACCATTTTCTTGAATTTTGTTTAGAATATTAAAAATTAAAAATTAAAAATTTTGCTTACAAGTAATTAAATTAAAATTTTCTACAGATCCATAGGGGTCAATTGACCCCCATAATTACAATATACCTCCGCCCCTGAATGTGAGATAACCAGTTCAGCTCTGATTACTCACATTAGCTTGGACGCATCCACCATTGAAGAATATGTAAAAGCACTCTTGGATCTAAGTTGGTGCAAGGCATGACACTTATTTTCCATGGTGGAAATGTTCACATGACACATATTGCATATTGCATATTGTTGATACAAATTTTGTGAGTGATCACAAGTTTACCTTCAAATTATTAAAACTTTAATGTGTGCTGTAAAAATGTTAATTTATCTGATATTAACACTATATTATCAGAAAACACGAAATTGTACACCTTAATTTATTACATCTATTTTCTATTTTACCCGATAACAAGTTATTTTACTAAATATACAATTTTGTTTGAGTACGAAAAAGTATTTTAACTTTTTTTTGATAGGTACGAAAAAGTATTTTAACTAACGAACGCAAAAGTAATTTCTACAAATTTACTAATTTGCTATCACAATCAGTTACCTAATTTCTCCTCCGAAATACGTCAAATAATTCCTAACGAGAAGAATGAACCCCAATTTTTAAGAAGGGCAGCAAAACCGCAAGGAGTGACACTAAAAAATAACTTCTTTAATAAATCATACTTTCTCGTTGACAAAAAAAAAAAAAAAAGCACAGCTCCTCTGGTAAGCAACAGTTGATTGGTTTTACTCTTTTCGAATTGTTTGATCCAACAACACGTCTGTAATATAAAACAAAATGGTTGGGTCGCATGATTTATTTGTTAATCATGATATATATGGTTCTAATGACGTCGACACTGACGAAAAACGAACCAAAACAAATCCTCACAAATATCTTTCCACTAGAATCTAAATTAAAACCGATATTATTATGTAGAAACAGGCATAAAACAAATATAGACATACAACAATATTGTCTTTATATAACAATATTATTATTAAAAAAGACGAGAGAAAGTTCTATTTATATATTAGTAGAAAAAATTGACAAAATCTGAGTCCACGTCAAAACCCTTTTTGTAGCCGAAGCATCTGGTTCTCTATCCTCGTCTCTAACCACATACTCGACAAAGTATCTCTCTTTTCTCTCTCTTCTAAGATATCTTCTTCTTCCCCTCTCTATATATGGATGATTAGATATGGTACGGAACAATCACTCACACACAAAACACACTCTAGATATAAAGGATTAGATACGTAACATATCTTCTTTTTTACTAGGGTTTCGGAATTTTGGATATCAAATTTTAACATCAAGCAAATCATCATCCGTACGTACTCATTCATACTTTTTAACAAAAACAAAACACAATCTAAGATATCTATCAAGATCTTAAGATATCTACGTAGAGATGTTTCGTTTTCCGATAAGTCTTGGAGGAGGTCCACGTGACAATACGAAGCCGTTGGATGAGCAGCATCATCGGGCGGTGGTGGATGAGGTTGACTTTTTCCGATCGGCGGAGAAGAGAGATAGGGTTTCACGTGATGATCAAGATATGATCGCCGATCATGAGACTCATAGGGTTCATGTCAAAAGGGAGAATTCACGTGTTGATGATCATGAAGATCGTTCTACGGATCATATCAATGTAAGTAGTTTGATTACTTCATCATTTTAATCTCAATTTATTTTGCTTACGTCCCCGTCATTTTTTAATGTCAATATCATTTAATTACTGCGGATTTTAGTATAACTAAAATTATAAATAATAGTTTCGTTATAGATGAAACTTTGTTCACTAAAATTTGTATATATGATTATTGTAAACAGATTGGACTTAATCTTCTCACTGCGAATACGGGAAGCGACGAGTCAATGGTGGATGATGGATTGTCTGTGGATATGGAAGAGAAACGTACAAAGTGTGAGGTACACTTATTATTCAATTAGTACAGCTCATTTTTCAAAAAAAAAATAAAACACAACTCATTTAATTATCTCTTTTCATTTAAACACCGAAATATTATCGTACTAACCAATACGAACAAAACAAAAGATTGTCAAAATCCAACAAAAAAAACAAGATTGTCAAAATCCATTAAGACGGTATACTTTTGTACTAAAATCTTGAGGATTTTTTTACCATTCATCTTCATTTTTCCTAATATTTAACCATAAATAGATATTTTTTATTTTCTCTACCAATTACTTTTTATTTCTTTAGAATTAATATAAAACTATAGATAGACTTTGACAATCTATTTAGAGATTTTTTTTTTACTATAATTATTTAATATCTGATATATGATTCTGTTTAATAAAATGAAGAATGCGCAACTTCGAGCAGAGCTAAAGAAGGCGAGTGAAGATAATCAAAGACTAAAGGAAATGCTAAGTCAAACAACCAACAGCTTCAACTCCTTGCAGATGCAACTTGTTACTGTCATGAGGCAACAAGAAGATCATCATCACCTTGTAATTAATTAAAACTCTAATGCGTCTTAATCTTTTATTTAATATAACATTTATAGCAATACCAATCAATCTTCTTCCAAGTTTAATTAGTTAAGATTTTACACTCTTGTTTTCATCAGGCTACAACTGAGAACAAAGACAACGCCACGAACCGACATGAAGTGCCTGAAATGGTTCCGAAACAGTTCATCGATTTGGGACCGCAGTCTGATGAAGTGTCGTCTGAGGAGAGGACGACGGTTCGGTCAGGATCTCCTCCATCGCTTCTAGAGAAATCTAGCTCACGTCAAAACGGAAAGAGAGTGCTTGTAAGAGAAGAAAGCCCAGAAACCGAATCCAACGGCTGGAGAAACCCTAACAAAGTTCCTAAACACCACGCATCCTCCAGCGATTGCGGTGGCAATGGCAGTGAAAATGCAAGTAACAAGGTCATCGAGCAAGCGGCCGCGGAAGCCACCATGCGTAAAGCCCGTGTCTCAGTTCGTGCTCGATCCGAAGCTAACATGGTAATACTAATTAATCTTCGTCTTTAGAATTTATATAAAGATTGATCCCTACAATTTTATTGGAGGGTATTATTTTTTTTTTTTTGAATAACCGCGGGTCTTCCAAAAGCTTTCTAGGCCCAAAGACTAATCTCACGAGGCTGGCAATTACCCTATGTAAACCTGCCAGTGGCCGTGCTTCGAACTATGGTGGCGGAAGCCGCAGCTGTGACCCCTTTACCACTAGGCCACAAGGCCCGGTTGTTTATTGGAGGTTAACTAACATCAATGACATTGTTTTGCAGCTAAGCGATGGATGTCAATGGAGAAAATACGGGCAGAAAATGGCGAAAGGAAACCCGTGCCCTCGAGCTTATTACCGTTGCACAATGGCCGTTGGATGCCCCGTTCGCAAGCAAGTACGTTATCTAAACATATATTTCTAAACATTTCACACATCTAAAATGTTTTAAGGTGATCAATCAAGTGTACAAATATATGTTGATTAATGTATTCTAACTAACTGATGATGACGTAACAGGTGCAACGTTGCGCGGAAGACAGAACCATTCTCATAACAACCTACGAAGGAAACCATAACCATCCATTACCTCCCGCGGCTATGAACATGGCTTCAACCACAACCGCAGCCGCAAGCATGCTCCTCTCAGGCTCCACAATGTCGAACCAAGACGGTTTAATGAACCCAACAAATCTCTTGGCTCGAACCATGTTACCGTGTTCCTCAAGCATGGCCACTATCTCAGCCTCTGCACCATTCCCAACCATTACATTAGACCTCACAGACTCATCCAACGGTAACAATCCAACCAATAACCCGCTGATGCAATTCTCTCAACGGTCTGGTTTCGCGGAGTTGAACCAATCGGTTTTGCCTCATATGATGGGTCAGGCTTTGTACTACAACCAACAGTCTAAGTTCTCGGGTTTACATATGCCGTCTCAGCCTCTAAACGCTGGCGAGAGCATTAGCGCTGCTACTGCCGCCATCGCCTCCAATCCCAACTTTGCAGCGGCTCTAGCTGCAGCCATAACTTCTATTATCAACGGTTCGAATACTCAGCAGAATGGGAACAACAATAACAGTAATGTCACGACGAGCAACGTTGACAATAGGCAATAACATTTTTTTTTTTAATGTTTTAGTTAGGACCTTTTTATCGGTCGATTTTGTTTTTGTTCTTGTTTCTTTTTTTTATGTTTCATTTTTAGTTACGGCTTTTTTTTTTCCGAACAACAAGAGTCTTGAGAGCAATTTTTCTTTCTCGTTTCCTTGTGTATGATCGACAATTGTGTTGAGGGATATAAATTGCTTAAACTTTTCCAAAAGTAATTAAGTCTTATGAAGTCAAATACGCATCATGAACTCTAGAAAAGCGTAGACTCGTCTATGTGCCATTGTGCTGGACTTCGGTCTGTGATGGATTTATGAAAACTGCTATTAAGGAAGGGAATATTGCTGATTTGGGCATTATTTGGCCCAAAACTTTCAAAAATGGAACACCTATCAGGTCTTTAACTTTGGGCATTTCTTGAAGACGTGTAATTACCAATTTACCTTTGAATTTTGGGCTCGATCAACAACCTCCGGCGATTTCAACTCTCAACATCATCTCCATCTCCGATTAAATCAATGGAGTCAAGTAATTGTTTTTTTTTTCATAAAAAAACTAAACCCTAAGAGTGTCTACTAAACCCAAGGGCTCCAATTTTAGACATGGAATCAATTAAGAATTTCAATTTTTTCAAACTAATTAACCCAAACTCAAGAGGGTGACCAATTCCATTGGAGGCGCCGAGGATTGCCAATTTTTTCTCGGGGACCGAATCTGAAGAGAAGCTACAATGGATAACCGCTGATTCGCCGAGAAGAAGACATGACGAGCATAGATCTGAACTTTTTTGAGATAAAGTATAAGATTTCTCCATCAACAAAGTGGATACATAATTAGCTGAGGAGATTTCAGTTTTTGGGGTGAACGACGAAACCACGGAGGTTGTAGTGACGATCTGCCTTTCGAATTAGATGTTGAGTTCATACTTTTTGATTATATGTAAGTTGCAGGAAAATGGAGATGGCGAAAGAGAAACTTGAAATCATTGGAAGGGTGATTTCGTCTTTTCCTGACATAAATAATGCCTAAACACGTAAGGCCCGACAATCGGTCCCAAATTGATAAGTTTTGTGGAAAAAAAGCCCAACCCGGTAAATTTATCATTAAGGAATTACTCACTCTGAAATTAGTCGACGCTGGCTTCAAGTGTCGCAAGATTTTAAAGGTACGTTAAATGTATAGAGGGTCAGGATTGGACTGGGTTTTGGGAAAGTGAAGAATGAGCCCATGCCCAAATAGAAAAAAAGTTGAGAAATTGGGATATCTAAATTTCATTTGTCAAGTTTTATTATAATAAAGTATATACTGTATATAGTTTTTAATCAGATCAATTAGCCAGTAGTGATCAACATCTTTTATGTGCTAGCTTCACTAGTTTTTTATACTTTAATAAGCTATATTTTTGAGTGCCTAAAATGGGGAATAGTAGTTAGACACTAATATAGGGGTTTATAGTGAAAGTAAGGAATCTTGAAGGGGTTAAACGAGCAAATATGAACAGTTGAAACTTTAAGGAAACGTGTTGTGTTTATGGGTCCTACGCAGTGTCATCAACGTGAAGGCGCTTGCTTGTGCTACAAATCAAAGCAACCTTATAATTTCCATTTGCAGCAAACACCAAACAAACCATCTATTATTTATTTGTGCAAGAAACACAATTCCGTTTTGCTTTTAACATTTTCTTGTGAAAATTCCAGAGATTAGTGTGTTTATATGTGAGTGGAGACAATATTAATTTTTTTAATCATTTTTATTTAAGGTATGGACTAATTAACTAGGGATCAAAATAGAAATGGCCATTTCTATGGTGACAAAGTAGATATAAGACGTTACTGTTTAAGAAAGTAGATATAATTATGGTGACAAAGTAGATATAAGACGTTACTGTTTAAGAAAGGGGATAATGCTAACTGCTAAGCTGGACCCAAGCATGGGTTCAACGTGAAGCGTACCTAATGCTAAACAAACCCAAATCAGCGGATATATTTGCCAAGCATTATTCACACATTCAAATTTCAGATAATTAATTAGTTAGTTAAAAAAATAAATTAATTAATCAATTACAATAGCATAAGAAAATAGGATAGATTTTGTTTTTAAAAAATTCTTATGTATTTTAAAACCAGTTTTTAAAATCAGAAACACTATTTTTAAAATGAAAATGATAGTTTCAAGGTTTTGTTTGTTTATATCATTGTTAAATGATTTTACATATTTACTAGATTTTAATCTAATACTAGTATATATTCCAATTACAGATGCTGATTTTCTTTCTTTCAAAAAAATATATTTTCTTAAAAAGTAAAGAAAAAATAATCTATATATATTAATGAATAAATAAGTTTAGTTGATTAAAATAAATTAAGAGAAATTCCTAAAAATGGCCCTAAAACAAATTTTATTGACAATAATAGCACACACTCCATAAACTTCCAAAAATAGCACTAGTTAACTTACTATTAGTGTTTTTGTTCTAAAATTTTTATCACTAGCTTTTTTTTTCAATAATACCACAATTTTTATATAAAAGCTATTCAACAAAATAAATTAGAAATAAATTTAAAATATTTATTTGGGTTCTCTATTTCCAATTTAGGGTATATATTTCTACCATTTAAAAGAGATTTTGATTTATTTTAATATTAGTTTATGGTATTATATTTGGGTTCCCTATTTCCAATTTAGGGTATATATTTTCACCATTTAAAAGAGATTTTTATTTTAATATTAGTTTGTGGTATTATATTTGGGTTCCTTATTTCCAAATTAGGGTATATATTTCCACTCTTTAAAAACAATTTTAATTCAATTTAATATTAGATTAGTTTTTGCTCTTTTTTTTTTTATTTTCTATCTTATATTTTCATTAAGTTTAATTGAAGTTTATGGTGCTATTTGTGGAACTTTTCAAATGAGGTGCTATTTTTGGAAAAAACAATTTTTTTGGGGCTATTTGTGTCAATCTCCCATAAATTAATACATACTGTACAAGGTTCATTTTGGAAAAGAGACAGCTAAGATTCCTCCTTACACACTTTAAATAAAATGAGCTTGATGTGGAAAACAGAACTAACAATGATATTATCCTAGAAGATATCATAACTATGTACTTAAACGAAATTAAAAATAATACTTTTTTTGTTGTGAACTGTGTCTTTCATTAATAGTATAAGGGATATATATACAAGGATAATAGCAGGATACAGAGAATAAGGTAAAACCCTAATGGGCCATGGGCCGGTTATGGAGTCCATCCATATGGTTTATAACACTCCCCCTTGGAAGACATAACCGTGCCCGATACTAAACCGAGATCTCTATAATGCGCTGGGGAATGTTGCCTCATTAAAACCTTACCAGGAAAACCCAGTGGGACAAAACCATGGTGAAGGAAAAAGAGTACAACACGCATTACTCCCCCTGATTTGAGCATCACTGTAGATCCTTAAGTCCGCGCATCCCGATCTGATAAATGAGCTTCCGGAACGTTGAAGTCGGCAATGATTTGGTGAATAGGTCGGCTGAATTCTCACTTGACCGGATCTGTTGAACTTTGACCTGACCGTCCTTCTGTAATTCATGAGTGAATAAGAGCTTTGGCAAAATGTGCTTCGTCCGGTCTCTCTTAGTGTACTCATCCTTGAGTTGAGCAATACAGGCTGCGTTGTCTTCAAATATGATGATCTTTGATGTAGTAGTAGATGCGCCTTAAGGAAGGCTGCCTACGTACCCTTGGAAGGGATCAAGCCACACATAGTTCCTATTCATTGACCATACCATAATCTGATCTTATGAATATCCTGCATTAGTAAATCAAACTAAACCAAAGCAAACTAGACCTTCTTTGGTTAGATCAGTATAGAATAAAACCCAAGTAAACAACGCAGGAAGAATGAACTTTAAATTTTAAACAAACCTTCCTTTAAACCTTTCCAGTGCCTTTGGGTTGATCATGAACTAAATTTAGACAGGAGACTCACGGCAAAACAAATGTTTGGTCTAGTGTGTCTAGCCAAATTCATTAGAACTCCTATGGCACTGAGGTATGGCATTTCCAGACTGAATGGATCACTATCCAATCTGAGGCTTCTCACCACCATTGGGCCTGGTCAATGGGCGGGCCTGGTCCTTATTAAATCTCCTTGAGTACTCTTTCAGTGTATGCCATTTGATGCACAAGGATTCCATTATTCACGTACTCAGGTTGTAATCCCAAACAGAACTTAATTATTGCCTAGGTCTTTCATTTGAGATTCTTTCTTTAGATATACTCAACTGTTTGGTCGATTACCCAGAGGTTTAAATCATTCATATACACTGCTATGATTACAAATCTTTTGTTTGCAAACCTCTTGATAAAAATACATGGACTGATCGGATCGTTTTTATAGCCTTCTCTGATGAGATATTCACTTAACCGGTTATACCACATATGTCCGCTTTGTTTCAGTCCATATAAGGATTTGTCCAGCCTTATGCAGTGCTGTTCTTGAGAATCTTTCTTATCTTTGAGCTCAATACCCTCTGGTAATCTCATATATTATCCAGTGGACTTATATAAATATGCAGGCATTACATCCATTAGCCGCAAATCTTTCTCTTTTATATAGCCAGACTTAGCAAAGATTTAAATGTCTTAGCATCCACCACAGAGGAGAATATCTCCTCTATTTCTGGTCATTGTGTGAATCCTTGTGCGACAAGCCGTGTCTGATATATTACGCTTTCACTATGTTTATTTCACACAATCACAAAGACTCATTTGTCCCACTGGCTTTACATTGAATGGTGTCCTTTGTATTGGACCAAACACATTCTTCTTCTTAATGATTCTTAGCTCCACGTTTTATGGTCTTGTACCATTTTAATCAATCAGGTCTTTGAGTGCACTCTAGTATAGACGTGGGCTCCTGATCCTCATTCATTTCAGTTGCTACCTTGTGCGCAAATATATTATCATTGATGTCGACATCTTTTCGGTTCCATTGTATTCTAGACATGATATAGTTTATAGAGATCTCTTTACACCTTCAGGACCTTGAGGTTTGGCGTCCCAAACCTCATTGATTGGTACCTTAGGGTTATGTCTATTAGCCGGCCATGTCGATGGTTTCTTGAACCTTCTCGGTTTCCCTTGCACCTTTCTTTGATTTCCGAGGGTTCTTGTCTTTGGAACCTTTTGGGTCTACCACGTTTCTAACGTGTTGTAGCCTC